CTGCGCAGGTGCCATGGCGGCACAGGAGCTCCGCTGGCTGACCTTCTTGCTCACCGACTTGGGTGAGCGGCCTAGCTCTGCCCCGGTTCTGTTCGCTGACAACAGGGCCATGATCCTCCCGTGTCAGGAGCCGCGACTTGAGGGCAGAGTGAAGCACATCCAGCTGCGGTACTTCCTCCTGCGCGAGCTGCAGCAGCATCGCCAGGCTCGTGTAGTACACTTGGCCTCCGGTGCCAACACAGCTGATGTCTTCACGAAGGCGCTTCCGCCCTGCCCGCCAACTCCCTCAGCTCTTGGGAAAACTTGCCCTTCCCCCCCTCTCCCCGCCCCCCCCCTCCTCCCCCCCTCTTTCCCCGTCCCCCCACTTTTGAGTCTGCTTGTAAGGTGTTTTTGTGCAATCAGTCCTTTAAGCCACTTCCCCCCCCCCCCCCACCCCACCACGGCAGGGCTGTACGCTGCGCCTGAGCTAGTGTCACCGCAGGGTTGCTTCAAGAGAGTGGACGTGTGAACAACCTTCTCTCTCCCCCCTCTCCCCACCCTCTCCCTCTCGCGCCCCTTCCCCCCCATTCTCCCTTTTGTCTCCTGTCACCCCATGGCATGGCAGGGCTGTACTCTGTGCCAGAGCTACTAGCGCAGCAGGAGTACGGCAAGAGTATGGATGTTTACTCGTTTGGAGTCATTCTCTTTGAGGTACAGTGCGTACATGTTTGGAGTCATTCTCTTTGAGGTACAGTACATACCCGTTTGGAGTCATTCTCTTTGGGGTACACTGCGTACTCGTTTGGAGTCAAACTTCGTAGAAGTACAGTGCGTACTCGTTTGGAGTTATTATGTTTGAGGTACAGTGCGTATTCGTTTGGAGTCTTTCTGTTTGAGGTACAGCGCGTGTCTGTTTGGAGTTATTCTCTTCGAGGTACGGTGCATTCTCGTTCTCTTTTATGCACAGTGTCTACTGGTTTATGCACGGATATAGGCATTTTTTGCCACTGCTCGTTTTTTTTTTTTTTTTTTTTTTTTTTTTTTCCCAATGTCTAGTTTGCTTGATGCCTTGTTTTTATATCCCATTCCCCCCTTCCCCCTTCCCCCTTTCCCATACACACACGCACCTCCTCAGATGTTTGAGGGATATGACAAGATCCGCCAATTGCTACCTGGGGGGACCAACCACAGAGGCAATCTCTTTCCACTGGCACTTAGCAGCAGCAGTCACAGCAATCTGGAGCATGGGGCGGAGGGGGGGGCAGGGGGGAGTCACCACAGCGGCGGGGGGAGTTTTAGGGGTGGAGGGTTCTTTAGGGTGGGGAGTGCGGAGGAGAGAGGGAAGGAGGGGGGTTCTGCTTCTGGGAGTGGTGCTGCTGCAAGTACTGGTGCCTCTGCTGTTGCTGCCGGTGCTGTTGGTGCTGGTAATGCGGGTGCTTCTGCTGGTGGTGCTGCTGTTGCTGCTGGTGCTGGTGGTGGGAGTGAGGTGGAGGTACCAGCAGAAGCAGCGAGCGCGTCTGACATTGCCCCTGCCTTCACTAGGCGCACCTACCTTGTGGGGATGAAAGAGTGAGTGGGGAGTGTGTGTGTTTGGGGATGGAGTGAGAAGGGATGGAGTGAGTGGGGAATAAGTGCATCAGGATAGAGTGGGGAATGTATGTGTGGGGGTGAAAGTGTGAGTGAGAATGGAGGAGAAGGGATGGTGGAGACTGGGGTGATGTTTGGAGGCGCCTCAAAACTGAGAATGGGGAAGGGAGGGGGGGCAGGGGAGGGATGCAAGACTGGGGTGATAGGACGGACTGAGTGGGAGATTGAGGCAGCAAGTTGACCGTCATGGCTCCTTCATCATCCCTCCTCCCTTCCTCCCCTCCTCTTCTCCTCTCCTCCTCTCCTCCTCTTCTCCTCCCCTCCCCTCCTCTCCTCCTCTCCTTCTCTCCTCCTCTCCTCCTCTCCTCCCTTCCCCTCCTGGTCCTCCTGTTGCCCCTGTCTCCCCACCACCCTCCTGTCTCCTCACCACCCTCCTGTCTTCCCACCACCCTCCTGTCTTCCCACCACCCTCTTGTCCCCCCACCACCCTCCTGTCTCCCCGCCACCCTCTTGTCTCCCCACCACCCTCCTGTCTCCCCACCACCCTCCTGTCTCCTCACCACCCTCCTGTCTCCCCGCCACCCTCCTGTCTCCCCGCCACCCTCCTGTCTCCCCGCCACCCTCCTGTCTCCCCACCACCCTCCTGTCTCTCCACCACCCTCCTGTCTCCCCACCACCCTCCTGTCTCCCCGCCACCCTCCTGTCTCCCCGCCACCCTCATGTCCCCCCACCACCCTCCTGTGTCCCCCTTCCACGCTCGTAACAGATTACTTTCGCTCTCGTTCCACGTGCCTTCCATTCCATACGATTCCCCACCACCACCAGTCTCACAACAAACTACCTCCCTTTTTTCCGCCCCCCCTTATGTAATATCCCCCTCCAGGCTCATAACAGATCAGTTACCCTCTCTGACTGTCCCTCTCTTTCCGCGTGCCCTCCATTCCATATTATCCCCCACCACCACACCACCACTCTGACAACAAATTGCTTCCCCTTTTTTTCCACCTCCTTATGTATTACCCCGCACCAGGCTCATAACGGATTGCTGGAATGGTGATCCTGCATCGTGGCCGTCATTTGCCCGCATTATAGAAATACTGGAGCAGATTAAAGAGGAGATGACCGGGCCTGGGAAGGGCTCGAAAGCCAAGGCATCTAGCCCTGCATGCTGTACAGTCTTGTAACCGTGTAACTGTGATGTGGTGAAGCACGGTCTTGTGTTGGGAGCAGTGTGTAGCATGTTTTTCGGCAACAAAAAAGCCTCGTTATTGCATGAAGGAAAGCGTGCATAGTTAGTGTGACATGCAATTGTGCGAAGAAAGAGCAGGACCTCCAGCCAAAATGATGGCACGTCTGCCCAATTCGGTCGACATTTTAGAAAGGGTACATACAAAGCACACGTTTTTCAACAAACATCAATAGCAGCTACAATAACAAACAGGCACAAAGCACTGGGAGATAATACATTCCAAACCATATACACCACAAAGCATACACCGCAGGACGTGGTGCGAATTTAGTAAGAGGCACGTTCTAATCTAAGCTGTTACGCGCCCCCCCCCCCCCCCCCCCCACGTTAGCACTGCTGCTTGCTGTTGCCCCCCCCCCCCCCCCCCCATGTTAGCATTGCTGCTGCTGTTGCGCCCCCCCCCACGTTAGCACTGCTGCTGCTGTTGCGCCCCCCCAAGTTAGCACTGCAGCTGTTGCCACACATCTGCCGCTGCTGAGTCAGCAAGTGATTAGAGATGCTCATACCATGTTACTCAGTTACAGGGAAACCCCTATACACAGCAACCACTGCACAGTCAGCAGGAGAGATGCTCCCCTCCCCTGCAAGCAGACCCCAGTGCCGAGTTACGAAAGCTCCGCTCCAAGCCACCGCACCCTGAAACCCCTGCTACAGCTGCTGCCACACTTCGACCACTGCATGGTCAGCAAGAGATGCTCAGACCATGTTACTCAGTTACACGGAAAGCCCTCTGTGCAGCTGCACCCTCAAGCCCCTGCTGCAGCTGCTGCGACTCATTGACTGCACCACAGTCAGCAAGAGACACCTAGACCATGTTACCGTGTTACAAAAGCTCCTCTTGAAGCAGCACCCTACAGCCATCGTTGCAACTGCTGTTGTTGCTGCTGCTGCTGCTGCCGCCGCTGCTGCCGCACAGCAGCCCCTGTGAAGTCAGCAACAAAGAGACCCCCTCCAGGCAGCTGCACTCCCAAGCCAGTGCTGCAACTGCTGCCGCACAGCAACCACTCCCTCAGCAAGAGATGCTCACTGAGACCACGTGATACAGCTCCATCAGGTCCCCTCTAAGCCGCCCCCTCAAGCCAGGGCTGCATCTGCTGCCACACATCTGTCGCTGCCGAGTCAGCACGAGATTAGAGATGCCCAGACCACGTTACTCAGTTACAAGAAAACCCCTCTGGGCAGCTGCACCCTCAGCCCTTGCTGCACCTGCTGCCACACATCTGTCACTGCCCAGTCAGCAAGCGATGCTCACACAGACCACGTGATAGCTCTATAAAAGGTCCCCTCTACGCCGGACCCTCAAGGTCACACCACGTGACCACGTGTTTCCTCTAAGCCGCACCCTCAAGCCAGCGCTACAGCTGCTACCGCACTCAACCCCTGCAAAGTCAGCAACAGATAAGGGAGATGCTCAGACCATGTCACTCGTTTACAAAAGATCCCCTCTGGGTGGCTGCACCCTCCAGCTATCGTTGGAACTGTGGTCGCACGTGAAGCTCTGCAAAGTCAGAGATGCAGGTGGTGCTGGCCCCTCCCAGGAACTCAAGCACTCCATGTTGTGGTGAAGGGTCAAGCACTCCTTGCAAATCTTTGGCTCAGTCGTCCTCTGTTGGGCTGGGGGACGAAGCAGCTACAAGAAACCTCCATTCCAAGCTGTTGCCCCCTTAAGCCATCGTTGGAACTTTGGCCGCACATCAGCCCCTGCAAAGGTCTATTTTGAGTCTTGTGGCTAACCCTGAGAGACCTGAAAACGAGTAGACTATATTCGAATTTGTATTCGAATTCGGACGAATTTCAAATACAAATCGAGATAAGTGGCTGTTCAAACTCGCCAAAACTCGACTTCCAATATTCGACTCGAATTCGTATTCGCCCAGCCATAACTCGAGTACTCGTTTTAGTACTCGAGTTTGGACATACCTGGCTTCTACTAGCATTTAATTGCCTAGCATCAAAGGTCCTAATCCTAATGCTTTTGATGCTACGCGATGCTGCTAAAAAGCTTCACTTACCACTTGTACAACCCCTCCAATTCCTTGTGCAAACCTGCAAGCACGGCAACGCCCAAAAAACCGACAACAAACTCCAAGGGTAACTTCACAAAGCTTGTAAACGCTCATATGCCCAAAACTCGAGTGCATTCGTATTCGACTCGGACTCGACTCTATTCAACTCGAATTCGTATTCGAATTCCAAACACAACTCGAACAAATCATTTGTATCGTGATATTCAACAACTATTCAAATGTGGAACTCGAACTCGAATTCGTATTTGGTTCTTCAGGTCTACCCTGAGAAATATGGGTCCATTGGTCTCGCCCCTCCAGCCATCGTTGGAACTGTGGCCGCACATCAGCCCCTGCGAAGTCAGAGACATGGGCAGTGCTGGCCCCCCCTAGGAACTCAAGCACTCCTTGCGGGATCAGCGGCTCGAGCGGCACTCCGTGTTGTGATGAGGGACAAACCGCTCCTTGCTGAGCTGACGGCTCTTCATGCATCGAAATTTCCAGTGGATGCGCTCCCGAAAGGTGCGCTCCCGAAAGGTGCGATACCGAAAGGTCTGCCCCCGGTAGGTGCGCTCCCGAAAGGTGTGCCCCCGGTAGGTGCGCTCCCGAAAGGTGTGCCCCCGGTAGGTGCGCTCCCGAAAGGTGTGCCCCCGGTAGGTGCGCTCCCGAAAGGTGTGCCCCCGGTAGGTGTGCCCCTGTCAGGTACACTTCTGGAAGGGGCCATTCTCGCCTCCGGCCCAAAGGCGCTCCTCTTTGAATCACACCTGCATATGGCACTCCATGCATAGAAGCTTCTGCTGGGCGCGGTTCTTCTGGGTGCGGTTCTGCTGGGTGCGGTTCTGGCAGGTGCGGTTCCAACGGGGGTGCTCCCAGCAGGGGTGGTTCCGGTGGGGGTGCGTCTGGTGGTAGGTAGACTTCTGGTAGGAGCCATTCGAGCTCGTGGCTCAAAGGCGCTCCTCCTTGTATTGAGCCTGCAGACAGCACTTCACGCATGAAAACTTCTGATAGGTACACTCCAGGTAGGTGCAGTTCCAGCAGGGGTGCTCCTGGCAGGGGTACTCCCGGCAGGGGTGCTCCCGGCAGGGGTGCTCCCGGCAGGGGTGCTCCCGGCAGGGGTGCTCCCGGCAGGGGTGCTCCCGGTAGGGGTGCTCCCGGTAGGGGTGCTCCTGGTAGGGGTGCTCCCGGTAGGTACCATTGGATCTCCCGGGGGTGGGTGGCATGATGGTCCTCTGAGAATTCGCAGGCTGTGTACACGTGCGCTGCTGCTGCTGCTGCTGCTGCTGTCGATGTTGTGGTTACTGCTGCTACTTCTGGTGCTTCTTGTGGCCTGAGAGTGTTCAGCACCTCACTGCCCTCAGTGCAAAATTCAGACACGAAAACGGCGTTGGCCTTCGCCAAACTGTTAGAACCAGCAGCAGCAGCAGCAGCACTGACTTGCGTGCTCCCAAGCTGTTCACGCATGTTTAGCTCCCCACTGCCAGGATGTGCCATGGGAACAGTGCCAGGTAGTGCAGCAAAGCCAGCAGCAGTAGCAGCAGCAGCACCCTCACTACCACCACCAGCACCAACAGCAGCAGCAGCAGTCACTTGCGTGCTCCCATGCTGTTCAAACCTCAAGGAGTGCCTGGCGGTACTGACGTTCCTGGCGGGCACCCCACCGCCAGAACGTGCTGTGCATACGGCGTCGGTTGGTGCGGCAAAGCCGGCAGCAGCAGAAGAAGCAGCAGCACTGCATGAAGCTGGGGGTGACTTTAGAGTCGACTCAAGAGCCAGCTCAGAGTGCCTGCAGGTGTTCAGCTCCCCTCCGCCAGATTGTCCTGGGAAAACGGCGCCCGACGACGCGGCAAAGCCAACAGTAGCAGCAGCAGCGTTGGACGAAGCCAGAGGTGACTTTGGAGTCGACTCAGAAGTCAGCTCGGAGTGCCAGCAGGTCTTCGGCTCCCCGCTGCCAGAATGTGCTCTGGGAACGGCGTCTGGTACCGCAGTAAAGCCGGCAGCAGCAGCAACAGCGCCAATAAATCGGTTATGCAAATGCCTAGGCAGAGCTGGGTGGCTGACAAATCGGCTGGCCGAGCGCTTGGGTAGAGCTGGGTGGTTGTGGCGGCGGCAGCGGTAGGTGACTTGAAAGACGTGCGGTGAGAGGGGCGCATGGCAGTCAATGTCGATGGTCTTCTTGGCGGGGCAGGAAGCGGAGAACTTGGAGCGACTGCACTTGTAGTAGCACCTGCAGGGCAACAATAGTCAACAGGAGTCAACAGTAGTCAACAGGAGTCAACAGATCTCAACAGAAGTCAACAGAGGTCAGCAGAAGACAATAGGGGTCAACAGGAGTCAGCAGAAGTCCACAGAAGTCTACAGAAGTCACCAGACGTCTACAGGAGTCAACAGGAGTGAACGCAAAAGTACGTCCCAAAAGAGAGTCTCACATGTCCCTACCTGATGGCACTTCGACCATACCTGATGGTGCTCCCCTACCTGATGGTGCTCCCCTACCTGATGGTGCTCCCCTACCTGATGGTGCTCCCCTACCTGAAGGACTAGAGTCAATGACCAGAGTCAATGACCAGAGTCAAGGACTAGAGTCAATGACCAGAGTCAAGGACTAGAGTCAATGACCAGAGTCAATGACCAGAGGCAACGATTAGAGTCAAGGACCAGAATCAAGGACCAGAGTCAATGACCAGAGTTAAGAACAGCATTGCGTATCAGAGAATGGCAATACCTGATGGTGCTACAGCCCTACCTGATGGTGCTACAGCCCTACCTGATGGTGCTACAGCCCTACCTGATGGTGCTACAGCCCTACCTGATGGTTCTACAGCCCTACCTGATGGTGCTACAGCCCTACCTGACGGTGCTACAGCCCTACCTGATGGTGCTGGAGCGCTGCACTTGCTTCTGGCCGTACTTTAGCCAGCTGTGCCCATCGGACCCCACCACCCGCGCCACCATCTCATCCAGCTTGATCGACTCCAGCCTCCGCCGCCCACATACCGCCGGCTGGGAGAGCGGAAGGCTTTCCAACTCCTGCCGGCTATTACTAGCCAACCCCGGCTCGGAATGAGGCGTTTTCATGTCCGGGTGGGAATGACGCTTTGCCATGTGCTGCTGGGAATGAGGCGCCATGTCTTGCTGGGAATGAGGCGCCATGTGGTGCTGGGAATGAGGCGCCATGTCTTGCTGGGAATGAGGCGCCATCTGGTGTTGGGAATGAGGCGCCATCTGGTGCTGGGAATGAGGCGCCATGTCTTGCTGGGAATGAGGCGTCATCATGTGGTGCTGGGAATGGGACTCTATTATGTCCTCCAACCCGTGCCGCCCCGTCGGCTCCTGCGACTGGGAGGGACGAAGGCCATTTAACTCCTGCTGAGAGTGGGAGCAAGGCAGCTCCTGCTGAGAGTGGGAGCCAGGAATCTCCAGCGCGGCATTGCCACCCGGCACTGGCTCCTCTTGAGGCGTCCCAAGCGCCGCTGCTTGCGAGTGTTGCTTCTCCGCCAGAGGCGATCTGTGAGACTGCTTATGAGGCGCCTCAAAAGGCGTCCCAAACGGCGCTGCTTGCGAGTGTTGCTCTTCCGCCAGAGGCGACTTACGCGGGAGAGGAACCTCGGCCGCAGTGGGGCACCAGAGGCCCGGGAAATATCCCGGCGCCATGTGAGGAAACATCACTTGAGATGATGCCTCTGAGACCATTGCCGCCATCATAGCACCTGGGCTCTCTTGACAACCTACTAGACGCAGAAATACGTCTCTTATTCTTAACCCGCCCCAATAACTTATGCCAGATGCTACGTGATTTTTCAAGAATCAGATCTCGAGCTTATTGAAGAAAACAAAGCCATCGCAAAAAGTGCAACGTTCACAGATCGTTTTCACCATTCGAGCTCGGGCATAAAGTCGGAAATCGTCCGCCAAGTGTTCGCCAAATGTTTTTTTCTCGTTTCTTTGCGCGTAAATGATTCGCGAGTCTTCTGCGGATGGGATGTTATGCGAATGAGTTGTTTTGTGAATGTTACACCTGAATAATAAACATGTTCCCGTGGCTTATATTTGCATAAATGATTGGTTTTTGTACACTTAAACTTCTACAAAGTTTTAAAATTGTGCATAAGTAACTGAAATATAATAATATATAAAATATGTGCAATTTGCCAAAAAAACTAACTGAATCCAACCCCAACCAACTCAACCCATATCTCACACGCTATTCGAGGTTCGGCGAGACCTGTAACCAGGCTGGGTTACGCAGCTCCAATGGGTTGCGAAACCCAGATACCACGTCCTAACCCTATGCACCGTGAGGAAATTGAACAACCCCCTCGGGCATCAAAAGGGGCCATGCGATTGGTCGAAGCCAAACAACAACAATCGCAAACCCAACCCACAGCCTGCTCCCTCGACAGCAAAAACGACTAAGGGAAAGATGGTAGCAGATCTCGAATTCGGGATCTGTAATTTTCTCGACTTGCCCTCGTTTCCTCCTAGATCCATGCTCATGCGTAGCCATGCTAGAGAGTTGGTAGCGACTTATAAGATGGGATCGAGGCGACACCGACGTCAGGCTAGTGAACGCGGATATCAATTGAGGTTCTTGGCGCGCGTAGCCTAGCCTGGACGAAATCACCAGCGCCTGAAAACAAGGGCAGGAAACAAATGACGAATCCCCCGCTGCTAATGGCCCACCGTTGCGGGCCGCTATAGCTTCCCGCCGCCTTCGATCTCCTCGTACGAAAATGCCACCCGCGGCTTCCCACATCGTGCTATCCCTGTCCTCGCGCTTCCTTGCTTCCCAAATCCCCGCTTCCCGCTTTCGAAAGCACGTCCGCATCTCACCTTCACGTGCTGCAGCATCTCGCTGTCCCTCGCTTCCTTCCACCCGCTTTCACCCGCGTCCCGCTATCGCTTGCTCCCCGAATCCCGCTTTCCCATGCTCCTCGCATTACCTTGCTCCCCGCATTCCAATGCTCCTCGCATTCCCATGCTTCCCTCATTCCCATTTTCCCGGCATTCCCATGTTCCCCGCATTCCCATGTTCCCCGCATTCCCTTGCTCCCCGCATCTTGCTTTCCCATGCTCCCCGCATTCCCTTGCTCCCCGCATCCCGCTTTCCCATGCTCCCCGCATTCCCATGTTCCTTGCATTCCCTTGCTCCCCGCATCCTGCTTTCCCATCCTCCCCGCATTCCCATGTTCCCCGCATTCCCTTGCTTGCTCCCCGCATCCCGCTTTCCCATGCTCGCTGCATTCCCTTGCTCCCCGCATTTCCTTGCTCCCCACATCCCGCATTCCCATGCTCCCCGCATTTCCTTGCTCCTCGCATCCCGCATTCCCATGTTCCCCGCATTCCCTTGCTCCCCGCACCCCGCTTTCCCATGCTCCCCGCATTCCCATGTTCCCCACATTCCTTGCTCCCCGCACCCCGCTTTCCCATCCTCCCCGCATTCCCATGTTCCCCGCATTCCCTTGCTCCCCGCATCCCGCTTTCCCATGCTCTCTGCATTCCCTTGCTCCCTGCATTTCCTTGCTCCCCACATCCCGCATTCCCATGCTTCCCTCATTTCCTTGCTCCCCGCATCCCGCATTCCCATGCTCCCCGCATTCCCGTGTTCCCCGCATTCCCTTGCTCCCCGCACCCCGCTTTTCCATCCTCCCCGAATTCCCATGTTCCCCGCATTCCCTTGCTCCCCGCATCCCGCTTTCCCATGCTCTCCGCATTCCCATGCTCCCCGCATTCCCGTGTTCCCCGCATTCCCTTGCTCCCCGCACCCCGCTTTCCCATCCTCCCCGCATTCCCGTGTTCCCCGCATTCCCTTGCTTGCTCCCCGCATCCCGCTTTCCCATGCTCTCTGCATTCCCTTGCTCCCCGCATTTCCTTGCTCCCCACATCCCGCATTCCCATGCTCCCCGCATTTCCTTGCTCCTCGCATCCCGCATTCCCATGCTCCCCGCATTCCCGTGTTCCCCGCATTCCCTTGCTCCCCGCATCCCGCTTTCCCATGCTCTCCGCATTCCCTTGCTCCCCGCACCCCGCTTTCCCATCCTCCCCACATTCCCATGTTCCCCGCATTCCCTTGCTTGCTCCCCGCATCCCGCTTTCCCATGCTCTATGCATTCCCTTGCTCCCCGCATTTCCTTGCTCCCCACATCCCGCATTCCCATGCTCCCCGCATTTCCTTGCTCCTCGCCTCCCGCATTCCCATGCTCCCCGCATTCCCGTGTTACCCGCATTCCCTTGCTCCCCGCACCCCGCTTTCCCATGCTCCCCGCATTCCCATGTTCCCCGCATTCCTTGCTCCCCGCACCCTGCTTTCCCATCCTCCCCGCATACCCATGTTCCCCGCATTCCCTTGCTCCCCGCATCCCGCTTTCCCATGCTCTCCGCATTCCCTTGCTCCCCGCTTTCCCATGCTCTCCGCATCCCCTTGCTCTCCGCATCCCCTTGCTCCCCGCATTTCTTTGCTCCCCACATCCCCCATTCCCATGTTCCCCGCATTCCCTTGCTCCCCGCACCACGCTTTCCCATCCTCCCCGCATTCCCTTGCTCCCTGCACCCCGCTTGCCCATGCTCCCCGCATTCCCATGCTCCCCGCATTCTCATGCTCCCCGCATTCCTTGCTCCCCGCATCCCGCTTTCCCTTGTTCCCCGCATTCCCATGCTCACCGCTGTCCCATGCCCCCGCTTTCCCATGCTCCCCTCATTCCATGCTCCCCGCATTCCCATGCTCCCCGTGCTCCCCGCATTCACATGCTTCGCGCATTCCCATGCTTCCCACATTCCCTTGCGACCCGCACCCCGCTTGCCCTCGCTAATCCGCTGCTGCCTCTCTCCCCTGTTTCCCGCCACCCGCTTCCCCTAGCTTCCGGCATGCCGCTTTCCCCCGCTTCCTGTTTCTGCCATTCCCCCCTTTTCACATCCCGCTTTCCCCCGGTAGCGACTAGCGCTTCCCGCTTCACCTCGCGGACCGCTTCCCGCTTTCCCTTGCGGGTCGCTTCCCACTTTCCCACGTTGTAACGTGTTACCCGCTTTTTCGCGCACCGCAATCCCCTGCCTTCTCATTGAATGAAAACAGATAAAGGTTCAAGGCGCAGCAGCAGGGAAGAAAGCGAGGCCGCAGGGATGGGGAAGACAACAGATAGTAGCGAGCGGGAGAGGCGAGAGGGGAGGGAGAGGGGCACGAGAGCAGTGGAGGGGGGAAGGCGTGAGAGCAGGGAGGGAGTGAGGCATGAGAGCAAGGAGGGAGTGAGGCACGAGAGCAGGGAGGGAGTGAGGCATGAGAGCAGGGAGAGAGTGAGGTATGAGAGCAGGCGTGAGTGCAGGGGAGGGGAGAGGCGTAAGAGTAGGGGAGGGGGAGAGATGGGAGAGCATGGAGGTATGAGGTGCGTGATAGGGGGGGATGTGGGAAGGCGCAAGAGCCATGGAGGGAGCGAGAGGTGAGAGAAGGGAAGGGAAAGAGGGGTACGAGTAGGGGAGTGGGGAAAGGGAGAGTGCAGCCCGGAGGAGATGGGGAGGGGAAGAGGCGTGAGGGCGGGGGAGGAAGAGGCGTGAGGGGCATGGGAGGGGGAGAGGGTGTTAGGGTAGGGGAGGGGGAGTGGCGTGAGTGCAGGAGAGTGGGGAAAGATGGATTGCAGTGAGGGTAGGGGGGTAGGAGTGAGAGCAGAGGAGTGGGAGAGGCGTGAGGGCGTGAGAGGCAGGGACAGCTGGAGGAGATGGGGAGGGAAAGAGGCATGAGGAGAGGGGAGGCAGATACGCATGAGGGCAGGGGAGAGGGAGATGCATGAGGGCAGGGGAGGGGGAGAGGCATGAGGACAGAGGAGGGGGAGTGGCATGAAGCAGGGGAGGGGGAGAGGGCAGTAAGTGTGAGCGGGATCCCGGCAGGACAGGCAGTAAAACTCTATAACTAACCCCTCTCAACCCCCCGCCCCCCACTAACGTATGCCCCCATCTCTTTCTCCCCCCCCCCCCCCCCCCCCTCCCCCCCCTCCCCTCCTCCCCGCTCTCTCGCAGCCTACCGGGTGGCACATGATTGCCAGTCAAGCTCACCTTGGACAACCTCTCCGTTAAAAGCCAGACTTCACCCCAAACCTATCCACTCACTCCCCTGTGCATCTCTCAACAAACCACATTCTGTGGGTGATCTCCGTGCGGCCACGCATTCAGACATTCAGCCGTTATTGGCAAATGCTAACCATGTCTCTTCTCTAGCATCATCTACAACGGCTGCAGAAAATGGAAATTATGTAACCCTACATATGTGAACGACACCTTGTAACTGAGTTGGTCCAGGGTTGTAAAGCCAACTTGAATTTTGAGGTCACAATTTCTCTCCCTCAAGTTTGTTACATTCTTCCTGCCACATATATATGTGACCTTTTCAGGTTATGAACGGCTTGTCGGTCGTTCTGTAAGAGTACATGAACTTGGCACCAATTTTGGCAACAAGAGTAGCTTTTTATCTTTAGCATAAAGTCATATTAGTCTAGATACATTCAGAAAGTCAAGTTCCCATGGAAAGCGATTTAATCTACTAAACAAATCCAAGACACACACTGAGATATATCGAAAACGTCTTAGCATATATAGTAACAAGTGTTGGCTACAACACCTCCATCCAACCACCAAGAAGGGCGTAGTCCAACGGAATCGGTGCAAAACACGGCTTTATGAAATTTGTGAATACCAAACTGAACCGAATTGAATCGCAAATTACAGCGTGCTATAGAGCGCGCGGATTCTGGGATCCAAAATTTCAGGTCCTATTTGCTTGATATTCGGGTCTGTAGAAACACGCCCCTATTCACAAAATGACGTGCTGACCAATCACACACCCTTTGCCCCCACCCTTCACCTGCAACCGAACCCAACAAAATTTATTCATCCAACTCAGCCCCTGCACCTCGTCCAACCAATCAAAATCTGCCAAGTGGTTCCAGAGCGGCTAATCCAGCTCAACCACCTGCTCGCCCCAACCACCCAGCCCACCACGCTGCACCCCACATGCCAGCACTCCAGCCCACCACACACTTCTGATCCCTTCCTTACTTGTCCCCTTGCGCCCTCTCATGCCTTCCAGCTAGACGTTACTTACAATAATAGCCCTCGGCAGTTCTATCTGCATCAGTTTCAGCTCCCATTCTCGCCTTCGCGCCCCCTAGTGAGCAGCTCCTTCCTCTCCCACAGGCTTCGATTACCATGGTCGTTCTTAGTGTGCCCTATGCTGAGGATCTCGTTTCACGATGGTCTATCATTTCAAGCAGCTCGTAGGTGACTAGTCTTGTTCACCCATGTCATTCTTATCTGCATGTTCATGAGCTAATGCGCCATTGGGGGGGCAGGAGAGTAAGGAGGGGCGAGGGGGAGGAGGCGGCACGCAGAAGCGGTATCTTCGGGAGGCGGGGCGCCTGGCGGAGTACCTAGATGCGCGCATGGAGGCAGCCACCAGGTGCGCGGACGCCAGCAGATGCGAGCACGGTGGTGAAACATCTCTTCCCTTGTTTCGCTTCTCGCCACTGTCCTTTTCCTCTCTCCTGTACTCGTTCCGTCTATGCCCGTCTCGATCCCCCTTTCGTGCCCTCTCTCCCTTTTCGCTCGTCCCAGCTGCTCTTTCTCCCCCTCGCCCCTGGAGCTGTGCTTGCCATGTGTGTGCTTGCCACGTGTGTGCTTGGCGCAGCAGTGGTGCGGCGCGACTCGTGCAGAGAGGCATGGCTAGTAGTGTGTGTGGGAAGGTGGAGGGGGCAGAGCGGAATGGAGAGCATCCGCTCTCGTGCACTCCCCTTCTCACGCGCATGCCCCATCCATCCGTCCATCGTGTGTGCGCTGCAGGTTGGGCGCAGCAGCAGCAGGCCCGAGGAGCAGTGAAGGGGGGCATGCTGGCGCCATGGGTGGTGCGCTGCCAGACGACGTGAGCGCCATGGCGTATGCGCACGACCTGCCACCCAAGGTGCATACATGTGCCTTGCTATATGCATGGCGGTGTGAAGCCATCCCTGGCAGCCCATCCGTGTGCCCTCTGTTCTGCCTGTTGCGTGCCCATGCCACCCCCTTTTGGCTCTTGCACGCCACGCCTCTCCATGCGACCTACCACTCTCCTTGCCTTTACTCACCTCTTTCTTTCACATGGCTGCATGGAATCACATGGCTGCATGGCATGGCATGGGCGCATGGCACATGGGTGCATGGCATCACATGGGTGCATGGCATCACATGGGTGCATGGCATCACATGGGTGCATGGCGTGGGTGCATGGCATCAGGTGCATCTGTGGCAGCACCACGAGTCTCTCTCCTCGCGCCATCTCTCCTCCTCCCTCGCCTCCCTGCACCGTTACTTCGACTACAGGTGAACAGTCATGGCCAGGCGGAGAGGGGGGGGTCATACAGGTGCCACGGATGGGTTGCTGGAGTAGAGAGGCCCATGAGAGGGCATTCGCAGGCACGTACGAGTGTGGGGGGCAGTGGGAAGGGCCTGCTGCATGACAGGGCAAGGAAGTGTGGGGGAGAGTGTGGCGTTCGCACGTTGATACGTGTGATCGTGTGAGTGTGCTGTGCACGCGTGGCCCTCATGGTGAGGCGGCCACGAGGAGTGCAGCCACCACGAGGAGTGCAGCCGCCACAAGGAGTGCAGCCTCCATTCTGTTCTTCCATGTCTTGTGCGCTCTTCCCCTACTCTTGCGCACACCGTCACTCCACCCTCCCGCTTCCGCCCCCTGCCACCCCCTCCTCTCTCCAAGCAGTGCGGGCGTGACAGCGGTGGGTAGTCGCCCGGCGTCGGAGTGGTGGGCGGGGCGATTCCAGGCGGGGCTGCTGGTGGAGGGCGCCATGCACGCACGATACGGGCACACACAGCACGCCATGGGGGTATGAAGGCATTTGTTACTTGACGTATCAATCAAACTAATGATTCGCATGTGTCCTCACGATGCTTGTCTTTATCGCAGCTAGCTATGTAACTCTGTCCAACATCGAGATAATTCCCCATGTAAGTCCAATTGTAAGTCTCGCTGGTTATTTGATCGTCGGACTAATTTCACAACAATGTCTCGTATGACGTGCAGAAATTTGTAGCCTACCACGAGCTATTTCCTCCGGTAAGCTGGCTCTTGTAATTGCTATCGTATGGAATATAACTAATTTGATTACAATGTTTGAACCTAATGTGCAGGACTCAATATCCAGCGTCGCGCTACTTCGTTGTTGTAAGCATTGTCCTTATTGTTGGTGATTTCGACCTTGGATTAATTTCGAGATAACAAGTTCTGAACGTAACGTGCAGGAATTCCAATCCAGTTTCAAGAATTGCTGCTCCTGGTGTGCCGCCGCTCCGTTTCTCTTTGTGTTAGTGCGGGACCCACATAGGGGTGCTGGTAGGCAAGGGCGGTTGGGCCATAGTGGTTGTGTACTGTGGTGTAGATGTTTTTTTTAATATATCAAATAATTTGCTTGTTGCATTATAAGTAAATCCAAACGAGGCATGCCCTAATTGTACTGAACCATGCCCAAAAGGGTACTGCAGCCTGCAAAAACGGATCCATGAAAAACACCACCAAACGTTTGCAACAAATCATGCTGAATACTAAAAATGGTGAGCATAAACTTCTCTATGCATTTACATGTTTACTGCAAAAGTTGTAGAAAGAACACCGCCATGCATTTGTAAACGAACCACAGAGATTACCGAAAAGACACCTCTAAGCATTCGCTGTCGTGAACCAAAAAGTGTTTCGGGAAATGTTGCCCAAGCATTCGCCAAGTGTTCTGATCTTAGTCCGCCATGAATTTTCACCCACATGTTCGCAAAACGTTTGCAAAGCATTCGCTCGAATGCTACGCAATCGTTTTGCGAGCACACCTTTTTTGCGATGGCATCCTTCAACAGAGCTGGCTCCGAGTTTGTACCTTGGGAGAGCCTCGAAAGGGGGGGGGGGGGGGGGGGGGGTAGGGGATGGGGGGAGAGGAGGGGCGGGGGGAAGGTGGAAAAGGGGGGGATGGGGGGAGGCCTCGGCAACTAGGCTGGGCGTAAGGCGCTGTGAACCTGGGTGGCTACGCGGCGTGAACTGCATGACTAGGACGTGTCGGAGTGGCAAATGACTTGGGAAACGGCTCCTAGTAGAAAAAAAAGTTTCTTGGAGAAGCCAACCAAGCCACTCGACCGCCAGCAGTGCTGCTCGAAACGGCCGGGGATTGTTCATTCCATCATCTTGGAAAGAAAGGACTCCCGCTCGTGAAGGGGGAAACGGCTCTTCGCATTGGTGCGCTGGAAGCGGTACACCCGCTGCACCCCGCGGGACTCACCCTCTCACCCTCTCAAATTCAATCTCTCAAAACTCTCACTCCCTCACCCTCTAACCCTCTCACTCTCTCACTCACTTTAACCCCCTCTCACTCACCCCCTCTCACTCACCCCCGTCAGTTTTTGACGTCACTGTGTGGTCGTTATGCTTCCCCAAGTTTTCTAAATGGTCCAAATGTTTTACAATTCGGTAACCTGACGTCAAAACCCCGGGTTGACGTCGAGGATTCCCCTGGACGTCAACCCCTTAGCCTGAGCCGGCGAGCAATGCAGCAGTGCCGTGTTGTACCGTACAGTACAAACCCCCTTCTGCTGTCTGTCTGCTTTCACCCTCTGCCAACAGCGCTGCGTTGTGTGCTGTGCCTGTACCGGGGCAAGATGTGCTGTGTCTGTACCGGGGCAAGATGTGCTGTGTCTGTACCGGGGCAAGATGTACCGTTACACAGCACAGCACAACAACCCCCTTCTGCTACAGCACGTATGTGCTTCAGGGCGTGGAGCCTACGGTTGCGGTTCCGTTGTGGGTTGCGCAACCCGGCATGGTAACAGCTTTCGCCAATGTCGCAAAAGCATTTTTGCGAAAGCTGGATGTGAGTTGCGCAATCCACGTCCAGCCCGGTTCCGAAACCCACTTCTGCAACCCAAACCAAAACCCATGTCCGCGCGAATCAAACGGACAACCACTTGGTCGAGAAATCCACCCCTACGTCCGCGGAACGTTTCGCCCAACATGCCACGAGGCGCGCAGGTGGAAGTTTGGGCTCTTTTCGCATTTGCGATTTGGGCGAAACGCATTCCTGTTTTCGCTTTCGCCCAGTGTTTTAAATTTCGAAATTTGAAACTTCCGCAACCCAATGTTCCAGGTGCGTTTGAGGCTTGCGCTGAGTTGTGCAAACCCATGTTCCAGTTGCGTTACGGGGTCAGGATTCGTGGGTTGCGCAACTGGAAGCGCAACCCACAGATGCGCAACCCTAGGGTACATGCCCTTCACCCTCTTCTCTGCCCCTCTGCTGTCCTGGCTCCTACTGATTCCTGGGTTCTCCGCCTGCTGTGCGGAGCTGTACCCCCTAATTTCCTCAGATTTGTTCGCAATCCGCACAGTCCTGTCCAGCCTGGCTGGTTCGGGGTCCTCCGGAAATCTAGGCGCTTTATTGTACCGTATTGTAACGCACTGTGCCGAGCCGTACCGTCCTTCCTTCACTCCCGCTTGTGGAGAAAGTGGCGTTGTGGGAATCTACGAGCGGGAGTCAAGTGCCAGTTTCCCCCTTGGTGGGGTTGAGGGGAGGGGGGTGAGGAGAGGATTGAGGGGGAAAATTTCTGCCGCGGACTGTCCACGAAACTTTTCATACTTTCGTGGACAAGCCCTACTTTCATGGACACCACATCGAAGTTTTGCTTCTCCTGTGGACTCCGTCAATACTTTCGTGGACTCCCGGCTTACTTCCATGGACACACCCATATTCGCAGTTAAAAAGGAGTATTCAGCAATGTACGAGTGATTACGGGCACAAAAATCGAGATACTCCAGAATATCTGTCCGTCGCAAGTAATCGCGAGCTACAGTGTCGGAAACCAGTTCTGAAACAGAATCTCGGAGCTTTTCTGGGAAGAGTTTGCAGCCGCACTCAAATATGCAGTGAATTTTCAAAAACAGGGTGTATTAGGGTCCGCGTGGTAAAAACACTTATTATTCAACTCAGAGCTACCCAACAAAACATAATATGCACGTGCTTGACGAGCCAGCATCAACCAGCAGTTGTTTTCTCCTTCATAATAAATAATTTCATTATTAGTAATTCTGTGAAAAAAACACCTAAGAAATATAATTTTTAGAATCACTTGTTTTTATTTGCATTAGTATGTTTCTCGTTCACACATAAAAAACATATTCCCAAAAACGTGAATGTAAAATAGTTATATCATTTTCTCATCTATTATTATTTTATTATGTACCGAAATTTTAATAATAATACAATCAAGACGTGAAACCTTCCATTTATATAGTCATGTTCACCAAACGTTATTGGTATTCTGAGATTTCACATCTTAGTTGAAAATGCAAGCCAAGTACTAGTTGAAATATTTGTAAATGCCAGAATTCATGGTATTCCTGATTCTTGGTAGGCAGAGATTTTTAATGAGCTCTATTAATCTTGTAAGCGTAATATCTATCTTTATTCTACAACGTGATTTTTTTGTAGCGATATTTCACCAGGTCGGTCTGCTACACTTATCGTTCAACGAAAAGCGCTTCGTGACAGTCATTCAAATGAATTTTGAGGATCGCTTCAGAGTTTCTATAAACACGCGAAACAGCTAGCGGACTTGGTGGCTTGAAAATACTGTAGCTTGCGACTATTTGCGAGGGACTTGATTACGCCTAATTTTGCTTTTTTCCTCCTGTCAGCATCTGTACAGTTCTGTATTTTTTTTTGTTTCAAACTCGCGTGTGTCCATGGAAGTATGCCTGGAGTCCACGAAAGTATTGACGGAGTCCACGGGAGATGTGAAAGTTCGATGTGGTGTCCATGAAAGTTGGGCCTGTCCACGAAAGTATGAAAAGTTTCGTGGACAGTCCGCGGCAGCAATTTTCCCGGATTGAGGAGACGAGCACATTTTGGAAGAACAGAGGGGAGGAGGGCAGGACCATCGCTGAGCCTCGAGGTCAAATATTAGGACCATGGCCAAACCTCGAGGTAGGTATGGAGCCTCCCCTGGGCGTGAGATTCGCCCTGAAGGCACCAGGCCCCACGACCGAAGAGCAAACACTCAGGCCCCATAAAACTAAAACAAAAATTGAAAATCGGAAAACGCACACCACAAAATGTTTCCTTAAATCTTGGGCGTTGCGGAATCGTCGGGTGAAATCCTAGCACATCGAACAATATAAACACAGGACAACATTGTTAATCATGATACTGAGGCATTCAGATTTCAGATCCTGAGGAATCCGAAAGGGAAATTACAGAATCGTGAAGTCTCTTTCTTGTCCCGTCAGATCCCAACCCAATGTTTCCAACTGTTCCCATTTTACTTCCCGCACCCCCCACTAAGGGAGATTACCCCGAGTAGAGCTAGCAAGGCTGTCATGTCATTTTTTAATTGCTGCTGGAGCGGAGGGGGTATATCTATTCTTGCATGATAGCTGGTTTGGTAACATAGGGTTAGAGTTACGGCAAACCACGGTGCGTGAGCGCAGAGCTAGCTTGCACCAGATGCTGCAGTTTACAGGGGTTGTATATCAACATATACTTTGTATATGTTAAAGGCTAGATAGGTGCGTACTTATAGAGGGTACAACACCTTACATTATAGTCCTTTGTACCCCATCATTCTAGTCAATCTTTCTACTCTGAAATGGTATCACGCTAGGTTAGGATCCCGCCCACCCACTCTTCCGCCCTAGTCCTAGCCCTACCCCGAGCCGCCCGTCGCTAGCCGCCCGTTCCTAGTCGACTGTCGCTAGCCGCCGCTGCTAGCTGCCCACCGCCCGTAGCCCGCTAGCCGCTCGTACATGCCAGCCGCCCGTATCCGCCAGCTCGCTAGCCACCCTTAGCCACCAGTTGCCCGCCGCCCGTAGCTGCCAACTGCCCGGAACCCGCTGGCCGCCTGTCACCGTTAGTAACCGCCAGCCCGCCTGCCCTGCGTCCGCTGGCCCCGCATTTGCCAGCCTCGCGCTCCATGGTCTCGCGCCCGCTGTGTCAAACATGTGTAGTTATCATGTTTGTATAGACTGTATAGGGTCACCTTCTAGAGAGTACAACATTTAGGTATATGTTTGTGTACTCTCTCTCTCACATTATTCAATTCTAGGTTTGATACGCTGGCCCCACATTTGCCGGCCCCTTGCTCGCCAGTCCTGCGCCCGCTGGGGCAGCGTCTGCTGGCCCCGTATCCGCTTGCCGCTGGCCCCGCGCCCGCCTGCCCACGCCCGCTGGCCCCGATCTCGCCAGCCCCGCGCCCGATAGCCCCGCATTCGCAAGCCCCGCGCCCTTTAGCCCTGCGCCCGTCGGCCCCGTGCGAGCACTGGCCCCGTGCGCCCGCTGGCCCCGCTTTCGCCAGCCCCGCACCCGCTGGCCCCGCGTTCGCCAACCACCTACTGCCGACCCCATGCTCGATGGTCCTGCGCCTGCCGTCCCCCTGCGCTTGCCAGCTCCGCGCCCGCCGACCCCTGCACCTGCTGGCCCCGCACCTGCCAGCCCCGCGCATACTGGCCCGACGCCCAACAGCCCTGTGTCTGCTAGCCCCGCGCCCACCCGTCCCGCGCTCGCTGGCCCCGCGCCTGCCTGCCCCGTTGCCCCGGCCCCGTGCTCCCGCCGGCCACAGCTCCGCCGGTCCCAGCCCGCCCCGGCCCTTCCTACCGCCGAGCCAAGCTGACCCGCCAGCCTTGGCTTCCCCTCTGAGCCGGCACTCTCACCAGCAGCCTCCACCGCACTCCACCGCTCTCCACCGCACTCCAATGCACTCCACCGCTCTCCACCGCCCTCCTCCGCAGTCAATCC